ACCATCATGACTTTTTGTTTCTGTGTTCATAACTTGTGTTCTGATCATAAACCGATGAATTACATTATGAGAAGTCACGATTGGGGTTATACTTGGAGCGATCCAGAAGACTTATCAGTGAAGAATCCATATTTTAAAGACTGGCCCTACTGTTTCGGTCCTGGTTACGGAATACAAAAACAGTACAAGCCACATGTTGGTCGTCTCATTTCTTGCGGACATACTGTTGACCGCGATAATTTCAAGACACAGTCCATGTACTGTCTATATAGTGACGGTGAGTGTCTCCAAAAAATAATAATGACATTACATTTTTTCTATACACTCAATCCTATAAATATAATGTGAAGCTGGTTCTTAATATCTGTGAGTGAAATCAGATTGATGTGGTTGATTGTGGTGGACAACAGATAGCTTTGGTTTGTAAACATTTACAATTTCCGGCTTAATCTTAGTTGAATTGTGTATGTTCCAGTCAGACAACGACAATTAAGTAAATGGGCTGGGACACAGTCGATAAGAGACTCATAGGTAGTTCCTAGAGGTATATGAAATCAACATAATTAATAATATAGTTTATTGTATCTTTAGAAATACAAGTTTCTATCAGTATGTAGCAATAACATTTTATGAAAAAAACAAGTATATAAATATGAAATGGAAAATAAAAGAAGATGAGTTTACATGTTTTGCTTATTGAAAGCAGTGTGAATATATTGTGCAACATTGCTTAATTAGCTCATGTCAGTAGTCTGCATCTGTATTTTTAATAATTTGTGATGGAAAGTTAATTTGGGAAAGTAGGTCTTCCCAAATGAAGTTACAGGGACAGGAAATATAGTCGTTATGACCAGCAAAAATAATGCTTTCTAAATTGTAGGTTATATATTAAGTTTTATTACTATGGGTATTGGGTATTGTTGCGAGTGCACTAAAATTACAGTACACTCAATAAAATTATCAAAACTTCAAATGCAAACAAAGTTCATGGTACATTTGCAAACATGGTACATGGTACATCTGCAAACATAGTACATGGTACATCTGCAAACATGGTACATGGTACATCTACAAACATAGTACATGGTACATCTACAAACATAGTACATGGTACATCTACAAACATAGTACATGGTACATCTGCAAACATAGTACATGGTACATCTGCAAACATAGTTCATGGTACATCTGCAAACATAGTACATGGTACATATACAAACATAGTACATGGTACATCTGCAAACATAGTTCATGGTACATCTGCAAACATGGTACATGGTACATTTGCAAACATGGTACATGGTACATCTGCAAACATGGTACATGGTACATTTGCAAACATAGTACATGGTACATCTGCAAACATAGTACATGGCACATCTGCAAACATAGTTCATGGTACATCTGCAAACATGGTACATGGTACATCTACAAACAGTACATGGTGCATCTGCAAACATGGTACATGGTACATCTGCAAACATAGTACACGGTACATATACAAACAGTACATGGTACATCTGTAAGCATAGTTCATGGTACATCTGCAAACATAGTACATGGTACATATACAAACATAGTACATGGTACATATACAAACATAGTACATGGTACATCTGCAAACATAGTTCATGGTACATCTGCAAACATAGTTCATGGTACATCTACAAACATGGTACATGGTACATCTACAAACATAGTACATGGTACATCTACAAACATAGTACATGGTACATATACAAACATAGTACATGGTACATCTGCAAACATAGTTCATGGTACATTTGCAAACATGGTACATGGTACATCTGCAAACATAGTTCATGGTACATCTGCAAAAATGGTACATGGTACATCTGCAAACATAGTACATGGTACAACTGCAAACATAGTACATCAAACAGAATTGTGAGAGTAATTTTGGATTTGTTAAAAACAGACCTAAATTTTGCAAATGTTGCGCCACTATGTCTGATTTGATGGGAGTTGCAAAGCCTGGAGTTTAAAACATCCATCAACTTGTAAACAAATATTTTCCCAAATATGAAAGACGCCTATTGTGAAGTGTCTTTTAATAATTTATTTCACAGAGCATATATTACTGGAATTATAATCATGATAATTCTGTTCATGTTCATTGAATATAGAGAACATACCATGGTACTACTTTTTTGACTTCCATGAAACTAATTACAGTATTTTCATTTGTTTATATTTTGTTTCCAGATCACGGTATAACTTGGACAGTTGGTGCCACTCTCTATGGAATGCCGTACGGTATGGGGAAAAAAAATGGTGACTTCCTTGCTGGAGAACCACAGGTAATTGAACTGAAATAGGGAGTGTATCAGAGGAACTAGCTGTAAATTCACTGTGAATTGATAATTGGGAGTGTATCAGAGGAACTAGCTGTAAATTCACTGTGAATTGATAATTGGGAGTGTATCAGAGGAACTAGCTGTAAATTCACTGTGAATTGATAATTGGGAGTGTATCTGAAGAACCAGGCTATTACAAAATAATTCAAAATATATGTTTTCATGAGGAGATGAAAAGTAGTGCGCCCTCACACTTTATATACCTTTATCTTAACGATACGTAGTGGCGCTGATGTTCGCTATATAACTTCCATGATTCAATAATACTAATGTTAAATATTATTAAAATTTTATATAGTTTCATAAGTTGCTAAATACAAAACAAAAATGTCATGGATCTTATAATTATATTTGTTTATTTGTTTTCAGCTTGTTGAATTACCAGATGGAAGTATTTTTGTGAATATTCGTAACACTCATGGTTATCATTGTAATTGTCGTATCATTGCTAAAAGCTTTGATGGCGGCGAAACATTTCCACTGACTAATGTCACTGTTGATCCCAACCTGGTTGATCCTGGATGTGAGGGTAGCCTTCTGTTGCACAAAAACATTATGTTCTTCTCGAATCCAAACTCATCTGCAGGGCGTTTAAATATGACAGTGAAATACAGTATGGATTATGGTAAACATTGGAATGGTGATATACATATATACTCTGATATCAGCGAATACTCATGTCTGGCAGATATAGATGAAAATCATGTTGGTGTCCTTTATGAAAGAGATCATTATCAACAAATGGGATTTGCTAAAATAAGACTCAACTAAAAATAGAATTTATAAAAGTCTTTATTTACATTCCTCAAATAATCACCTGTTGTCTGTCGATTTCATTTACTCTATTAGAAAAACAAACAAACAAGTTTTTTGGTCATGTCTATTTCAGTCAAAGTTGGCAGTAATTAAATGTCGTAAATTATTTCTTGGACATGCTGAGATGACAATGCTGTGTTATACACCACTATGTTTAGTACCAGTTTGTTTGGCAGCCAGTTTGTTGCACAGCCATTTTGTTGGACAGCCAATTTGTCTAGCAGCCAGTTTGTCTATCACCAGTTTCTCTAGCAGCATGTTTGTTTGGCAGCCAGTTTGTATATCACTAATTTGTTTGGTGGCCAGTTTGTATATCACCAGTTTGTTTGGAAGCCAGGGGTATATATCACCAGTTTGTCTAGTACCAGTTAAATTTCTCTAGCACCAGTTTGTCTAGTACCAGTTTCTCTAGCAGCCAGTTTTTCTATAACCAGTTTCTCTAGCAGCCTGTTTGTGTAGCAGCCTATTTGTTTGGCAGCTCGTTTTTCTGAAGTGCTTTACCTGATCAACTGGAATTTTTGCCATGTAGCATATATGACCATAGCTCATTACAAAAAATAAATAAATAAACTTTGATCAGTCACATGGTTTTCCACCATCTTGGATTTTCGCCAAAAACAAATGACTATAATTTGGAGCATTTCTGTGTCTGATAGATGTTTTAAATTGCTCAATGTTCTATTTGGATATACATGTAGCTTGTGACCACAGCATCTTCTGATATATTCAGCCTTCAAACTTGCTCTACAGCTTTCATTTGCATATTTGTGTCAATGGGGTATATAAGCTATAAGTGTTTTAGTCCATTGCAATACCATATCTGTTTGAGTCAAGCATGTAGAGTACATGTTTACTTAACATAGTATTTACCATAGCTGCCGTGTATCCAGTGTTATTTGCTCTGGCATTTTTTTTTATTTCATGACTGTGTCTTCTAAATTGCTATTCCAATAGTGAATCATTTTTAGTAAATAAAGTTTTGTATATCTGTATATGTAGTTTAAATTGCAAAAACACATTTATTACTAAGTGTATTTGATTGCATGCATATTTTGTTGCTAAATTTAGCACCATTTTGTGTTATTATACCTCCTGAGCAAGATAGCCAAGATTCAGACATTACAGACAGTTTACAACTATTGACTGGCCATATGAGAGCAACATTATATGCTCGTTTCCACCAAGATGCTGTCATTCAAAACAAACCTACATAGCCTTATATATTACATATATTATATTTTTATTTCATCACACATTTCTGTTATAACATATTAAAAGGTATTAATTTAAACAGGTTAACTATTGTGTTAAATCATAAATGTTTTCCACATGAAATATGCAATTACAACTTTACATGTATAATAGTAATAATAAGAAAGTTTTCTCTTTCATATGGTTTTGTGGTGTCTGCCAAGGTATAACATTGTAGAACTCCAGTTGCATTTGACAAACTGTACAATTAAATCATTATGTATCTTCATTTCAATATCCTACACGGGTTGTTTGTGTTCACATAATAAGCAGATTTGTTAACCTGGCCCCGGGCATAATATTGACAAAAGTATGCATTGATGAGTAATACAACTTATGTACTAAATATCAGT